AGATTACGGACGTAAATCTCGTTTACGAGAGATTCCTGTCATAATCCTGAAATGCTATCTCCTTTTGGACGTAACGCGTCCAAAGAGAAACAGGGACGAGATTAATTCGCGGGCTAAACGCTTGAATCAATGTTAATAGCTTCGCGTAGATACGATTTTATAAGAGAGAAGAAAAAGTTAGCTTGATATTCCTCTAAATTTTATCATGTTATGACACACGAAAAGCATAATGAGCGAGCGGTGCTGGACGACGTACGGGGGTGACGACTTTCTATGGTATCATTGGTGGTCCATGCATATGTAAAGATTCTTCGAAAGGGTTTCTTCTGTAGCACACTGGCTCCAGAGATACAAAAGGGGCTTCCCTTTCGCGTGTTCCTGCATTTGTTTTATGTAACCGAGTTTATGTCACTCTACCCAGGCATCGTTCGCAATCATCCGGCAGTGTTTTATATAAATTTTTAACTTGATTACACACAAGAAGCTCGGCACATGAGAGGTCTCTCATCGCGCTAGCTGATTGAATAATACAACGCCCTTCGAGCTTCGAAGCTGTATTCAGAGCGCATAGTTTTAAAGAGTCTAATTAAATTTTTATTTTTCTTTCAAGAACGAATAACGTTCTTCTTTACCGTGAGCTGGATAGATAAACAGATAGATAGACAGAAAGATAGTTAGATAGAGAAGATTTTCGCAAAATTCGTTTAATATATTTTTCATTCGATCGTCCAAGATGTCACGGTTTACCGCGTTATTTATGCAAATACGCGCGATTCTTTTCTCGTTATTCGAGACAGCTGGATGGAGAGATGTAACACAAAGTTTCACGAAAAACGTACGAGATTACACGGGCGAATGTGATTTTGTCGTTCGAGGCAGAGAACAAAGATCTCACAAAAGGGAAAAGTACAGGCGTAGCGAGGTAATAAAGGTAAAAGAGGCTGAGGAAGAAGAAGAAGAGAGAATCGAAGGGTAGCCTAGATCACGGAGGCAATACGCGTGGCAAAGTATGCCACATTTCCAAATGGCATTCCGAATGAACCGCTACGTGTTTGGATCGTTTTTAAGAGGGCACCGTAAATTTTGTGGCCCAGCAGGGTCGTAAACTCGAACCGAACCGAACAAACGGTCCTCGCGAGGTAGGGGTGCCACCGAATCACAGGGGGTAGGACGCGCGCGCGCGCGCATGC